TGTTGGTGTGGGTGAAACCCGCAACCCACAATCATATTATATTCCAAATCGCATCTACCCGCATTGTGTCTGCAAAACCGCCCATTTGTATGTAGATCGATTCGAGTTAAGCGGGTTGGTGGTTCGGATAACCTTATACTCAGCCTTAGGTGTGGGTCCCACCCACACCTTGTTTGGTGATGATTTAGGAGGGGGATTAGCTTGGCTGGATTTTGGGTACGATTAAAAAAATAGTGACTGTATTGAGTTATTTTATATAAAAAAAATATTTTTATTTTTATTTTTTTTATCAAGTGCACTTGTTTATTTCAATATTTTTTTTAGTAATTTTTTAATATAGAAATAATTTTTTATTTATTTTATATAAAAATAATTTAACAATCTCATCATTAACCATCTCTCACGCTATCATCAAAACAAACACACTTTTACTTGATCCTCTCACTAATAATCCTCACATTAATAATCATTTCACTAACCATCATTTCACTAGCAATCACATCCAACCTAATTCACTAAACAAACGTGACCTAAGAATATATATTCAAATTTAGAGGGGACAAATTAAAAGAACTATTTATAAACCTATACTAAAACATAGATTTTGAAAAGTTGAGGAGGGGCATGTGCCCCTCGTGGGGCCATGCTCCCTCCATCCTGTGCATAACACTAACTAATTATATATAATATTTTTCTTATATATAACATTAATTTGCAACAAATTTCCTATCTCATGTTAATCTTACAAAGATCTTTGCTTTGATGTTACATCGAAGGTAAAAAAATATATATGTATGTGTATTAACTGTTGGAAAAATATGATTTTATAGGCTTATTTTGGGCTAACTTTGAGCTCAAATTTGGGTAGGTCTCACATGTCTTTTGAGGTGGATCCAAGAGGTGACGTGTTCCTTGTCGCATGACAAGTCACACAGCGAAAACGGTTCATCAAAACCATTTATGAATGAATGGGAAGTTGACGTCGTTTTTCAAGTTCGTGGAATGGACAATTAAAGAGTAAAATATGAATTTTCTTGAAATGGGTTGTCCCACATTAAAACTTGAAGAGAACTTATATGTATACATAAGTTCTATGTGGCAACACTTGGGTTGCGTCTCAAGGGGCACCCCAAGTTTGTAGAAGGAATGAGTTATGGACAAATTGAATCTTGGCTCAAACCACCACACATGCGCGCGTCGCCATCGTCTGGCCTACCGATTGGGCCCTGATCGGATATTAAATTTTTAGACAAAATTTAATTCAAATTTTCTGTCCAATCAAATCTCCTTCAGTCCAAATTTCCAATAAATTCAAACTGTTTTTACAGTTTTAAAACTACCCATCAATTACAGGTTCAAAACTACTGCAGATCTGTTTAAATTTGAATTGTATCTGTTCATTCAAAGTTCATACCTGTTCAGTTCAAAACTGCACCTTTTCAGACATATCTGAAGGGTCACTTTCTTGCCTATAAATAGAGATCATTTCCAGCAGATTTTCACATCCAGAAAAATTCTTCTTTTCCCAGTTTTGCTCTTTGTGTGCATTATTCTTCATACTAGTTCTTAGGGAAATATTCAGAGAGTATAGAACACAGGTTTTGTTCACCGTACAGATTGTTTGGAGTGCTACTACAATCTATGTAGATCATTATATCCTGGAAGATAGATACCATTCATTCGTAAGCACCGAAGCGGGGCGAATCTGTCATAAGAACAGAGTGTCACACACTCGACTCAATCGTCTTTATTATTTTTCATTTCGATAAAATAAATTCTATAAATAATTTATTTTTATTTGTTTGATTTGTTTCAACTTATTTATTTTACATAAAAGATTGTTCCAACATTAACTATGGTAGGGTGGGATGATTTCGAAAACAGATTATATATTTTAAACCGTGAATCAAATCAATCTGTAATTAACAAGTGAATCGGTGTGAATTGAACAATTTTACAGATTAGCCCTGACTACTACTACTCTCACTTTTGTTAAAAGAGGTTGTTTACCAAACCATCATAGAATTATTGCTACTTTGTCTTTTTATTTTCCTTCATTTACCTAACTTCCCTTAATTAATAAAACTGATAGTTTGGCCCAAATATTTGGTACACTACATGTCATTGATGTATTAAAAATAATATCCACCAATACAACATTGACACATTATTTATTTATTAGTCTTACTTTTTGTCCCACTTTTTTCTGTTCTAAACACAAAATAATTAATAAAATTTCCTATTTAGTAAGTAAATTTGATCAAGTATTTAATGTTCCTAGAGCACATCATCTATTAAATTTTATTTTTATTTTGTCACACAGTATACACATAGGCGTGTTTGTTTTGAGGGATTGAGGGGTGAGATTGGACTGTTAATCCATCCGGACTAAAAGTCCGTTATTTGGTTCAAAATTTTTACACCAGACTATTAATCCCAAATTCATTAGACTATTGTGTCCCATGAGGGGATAGAACCCAAATGGAGGGATAGGGATATGGGATATGGGATTAAGTGGTAAATGACCATTTTAATCCTCTACTATTTAATTATATATTATATTTAGTAAAATTCAATAAAATTTAAATGTCTCAATTTAAAAATAAAATTATTTAATTTAATTTTTATTGATGTTTTACTTATTTAATTTTTTAAAATAAATTTTTATCAATATTTTATTGATGTTTTATTTTAAATTTTTTTTTATATTTTATTTTATTTCATTAAGTAGAGGAAGAGAAGAGAGATACACACTGTGGTTTGACCCCTCCAGAGAGTTCCATCGTTATAGCATACTGTGGACCAACAATAACATCATGTGAGTTTCCAAACCCCATCCCCCTCCCACCTACTCTAGAAAATATATATATTTCTATAATATCAATTGATTTTAATTTTCTAATTTGACCATTTCAATGGATTTGGAATTCGTTTATACGCACACGTTTTGCTTGAATTGAGTTTTGATCCAAAATTGTAAAACGTGTATCTTAGGACACGTATATTATCACTTTGGTTGGTAAAATTTTGGTCAGACAAGCTACATAAACCTATTATTTGTACAATTTTTTTTTTAGAAAAGGGGTAATTCAACTAGTGACCTCAAGTTGTTTAAGCAGTATTTGATGTGGGTTCAATGCTCCCCGCTGTGCGAGTCTTGACTTAAGCGGAGCTTGTCTTGGGAGATCGGGGCAAGTTCTCAAGTTATAGTCTCCTCGCTCGGAACGGCTAATAGGACACTTTGGTAATCTCTACAAAGAGGCGTTGCTGTCAACTGATGAAGGGTATTTAGTGTTATTTTAAGAACATCTAATAATTTCAAATAATCATATATAAATATAATTTTTATGAAAAATGATGTGGCATCTTGTGCTTTCTTCGTCCTAAAGATATATACACATAATTGGGCATATAAAAGTATTTAGAAATCATTGCATGATCCAAATCTAAACCATATGTTATGGGACCCAAATTTAAGATAATTTAGGCCATACAATGATTTTTTTTTTTTTAGAATTATTTATGCGTATGAGTTCTATCTACTTCTTTTCATTTTATAACAAAATAAAATTCATAATTTTTAAAGAAACAATTTTACAAACTCACAAAAAAATACTTAAAAATTAATCAGAATTTGAATGGTATAGATTAGATTTATTGTTGATAAGGGCGCACAACACATCAAGTTAAATCACTACCAACTCTCTTTGTGAAAAATTTTATGGACATTTTTTTTTATTTATCTTTTTAGTTGTTCACAATATTTTTTAATATAAAAGAAAAAAAAAATTGTTTGTAAATAGGTTTTTGGCATAATGATACTTTTCATTTTTGACAATTACTTAAATAAACTATTCAAAGTTCCAAACCAGCTCCTCTGTCTCTCTCCATATATGTACATGTGTTGCCATACACAGTGATTCAACCCCAAAAACTCACACAAAAAGATATGGAAACTTTTCATTCTCTCTCCAAAGGAATAGCATGTCTCTCTCTCCTCCTCCTTCTTGTCTCTGCTGCTAACGCTGCCTTCATCGTACCCACAATTCCATTCAACAAAGGCTTCAATCCTCTCTTCGGCGACAGCAACATCGTCCGATCATCCGATGACAAAACCGTCGATCTTGTCCTCAACCAATACACAGGTTTATATACAGAAAATTATAGAATAATCATATCTCTTTTAGATGCTTGTTTTTGCGCATAAAAAAGCGATTCAATACACAAGAAAGATAACATGTCCACAGTCTTATCCAAATTCTAAAAAACGATTTTTTACTTTTAATAACAATAGATATTGGCCAACTGTATCGCCAGTATTAATAACATTATTTAAAACCCATAATTGAAGCTTAATAAATTTTGCTTCTTTTTCGCTGATCAAAAAGATAAGAAAATAAAAATAAATTTTGATGGTTACCCATTTATCTTTATATTTTATAGGTTCTGGGTTCAGGTCTTCGGAACTCTACAACCATGGCTTGTTCAGTGCTAAAATAAAGTTGCCATCTGAATACACTGCTGGCATAGTTGTGGCCTTCTATGTACATCTTCTCTTACCCTTTTGTTTTTTGGAACTTGTTCTCTCATAATGTTTTTTTTTATTAATATGAATCATGATCATATAACTATAAATTTTATTTGTTTATTTTGTACAGACATCGAATGGAGATATATTTGAGAAAACACACGACGAATTGGACTTTGAATTTCTGGGAAATATTAGAGGAAAGAGGTGGAGATTTCAGACAAACGTGTATGGAAATGGAAGCACAAGTAGAGGAAGAGAAGAGAGATACACACTGTGGTTTGACCCCTCCAAAGAGTTCCATCGTTATAGCATACTGTGGACCAACAATAACATCATGTGAGTTTCCAAACTCCCTCCCCCTCCCACCTACTCTAGAAAATATATATATTTCTATAATATCAATTGATTTTAATTTTCTAATTTGACCATTTCAATGGATTTGGAATTCGTTTATACGCACACGTTTTGCTTGAATTGAGTTTTGATCCAAAATTGTAAAACGTGTATCTTAGGACACGTATATTATCACTTTGGTTGGTAAAATTTTGGTCAGACAAGCTACATAAACCTATTATTTGTACAATTTTTTTTTTAGAAAAGGGGTAATTCAACTAGTGACCTCAAGTTGTTTAAGCAGTATTTGATGTGGGTTCAATGCTCCCCGCTGTGCGAGTCTTGACTTAAGCGGAGCTTGTCTTGGGAGATCGGGGCAAGTTCTCAAGTTATAGTCTCCTCGCTCGGAACGGCTAATAGGACACTTTGGTAATCTCTACAAAGAGGCGTTGCCTTGGACCTGAGGGAGAGTAGGGAGAATTTTTCTACCAAAAAAAAAAAAAACTAGTGACCTCTATTCTAAGTAAAGCGCACAGACTTTAGATATTTGATTAATTCTGTAATTATGAGGATGGCAACATGGTGGGTATATGTGTTTGAGGACCCTTACCACATGCCCATCCCATTCCTGTTTAGTAAATATTATCTCATGTGTAATGAAAATGAATTTGTTCACACATTTTTTTAATGTGCGAATAATATACAAAATACAAAAAGTGTAATTAATGATCATCCTATCTAAAATTATAAGTCCTACTATTCTATTAAAATGTATGTATTTTTACACACTCAATCAAACTCCGTATCCAATCCCTACCCTCTGGACCCCTCTCTCACCGGCTCCATTCATACCCCACCTCCGATCCTACCAGCCTAACTTAGTTTTATAATTTATATTGCCAGTATTCAATTTGCATTTTACAGTTCATAATGAAAAATAATTTATAATAATGTGTTGTTGTTCGATATTGATCCAAGTGAGATTGTAGAATAAAAGTAAAAAGAGAATAGGCGCAACATTCAAAAAGCATGAAAGAAAAAAGAAAAAAAAAAATCCTAAAACTCAATAATGAAAATATGCATTTAGAAAAAGAAAAGGAAAAGAAAAAGAAAACACAAAAGATATTTTTTTAGTGGTACAAGGGTCGGGGTTACCCTCCCCACACTCTACCCAAACCTATGAGGGTGTTTTTTCTATTTTGATTCGTAGAATATTAAGAACTTCATTCATCAAGCAAAGTTTAATAAGATGCCATACTTCATTCATCAAGAAAAGTTTAATAAGATGCCATATTTGTTATATAAGAAAAAGAAACCTAAGAAAAAATTAAAAAATTAAAAAAAGAAAAAAAGACAAACCAAACTAAACAAAGAAAACACACGAGGGATAGAGGACAAATTCATCTTATAGAGAATTGATACAAAAACCCAATTAATTAACCTAAAAATTAGGCATGTTAAAATTTTGCTTCTCATGAATTTTTTCTTCTTCTTATACAAACAGTTTTTCCATAGATGATATTCCGATTCGTGAGATAGTACGAAGCGATGCCATGGGTGGAGACTTCCCTTCAAAACCAATGTCATTGTACGCCACCATATGGGATGCGTCAAATTGGGCTACCTCCGGTGGCAAATACAAGGTCAACTACAAGTACGCTCCCTTCGTGGCCAAATTCACCGATTTGTCCCTCCATGGATGTGCTGTTGATCCCATTCAGGAGGTCTTATCCACTAGTTGCTCTGAAAAAAATGATCAATTGGAAAGCACCAACTATGCTCGTGTCACGCCAAAGCAACGTGTGGCGATGAAGAGGTTTAGGCAAAAATACATGTACTATTCATATTGTTATGACACGGTAAGGTATCCAATTCCTCCACCAGAATGTGTGATTGATCCATTGATGAGGCAACAGTTCAAGGATACCGGGAGGATGAAGTTTGAGGAGAGGCGACACCACCATTCCAAGAAAAGGAACCAGGTTTCAAGCATGAAGAACTATGGAGACCAGCATGAAGATTGATGTGTGTGAATTGGTATACAATTGGATTGTATAGTAATTTATATGATTTTTGGAATTTGGATTGTTGCTACAGGTTTATTTTTTCATGTGATTCTATAGTTGCTTGTGTGTGTGAATAAGATTGGATTTTTCAAATGTTACGAGTACCCATCATGTATATGGTCAATAAAATACAATATGCTTTTAAATATGAGATTGGTCAAGAGATTAGGTCTGTATTGATTGGGCTAACAGTTAAATAGCCAATGAAAACGAGGCATGCAATGGTTTTACTATGTCAATTAATTAAGAAAAAAAAAAAGGGAGGGCAAATTATATATATCCCTCGAGATTTAGCAAAATTACAGATACTCCTGAGGTTTGAGAAATTACAGATACCCCTTGAAGGTTATATTTGCATAACAAATTAGGGGGCAAATTGTTATGAAAATATAAACTACAGGGGACAATTTGTTATGAAAATATAAACCTCAGAGGGTATCTGTAATTTCCGAAACCTCAGGGTATCTGTAATTTAGCTAAATCTCGAGGGAGGTATATGTAATTTGTCCAAAAAAAAATCAATATAGCATCTAGAAGCAACGGTGAGTCAGTTTAGGCATTAATGTAATGGGAGTAAATATGAGGAACCAAGAGTTTACCCAAAAAAAAAATATATATGAGGAACCAAGATATCAATAATGAATCTTAATCATATATTTAAATTCTGAATTTTTCTCAAGTCTATAGCACTAATGTTGTTCAAAGAATAATTCTGGTTATCTTGAAAAGTTATGTAGAATTTGTTGGAAATGGTAGAAAAATTTTGAGTAAAATCAGAATTTTTTCTCAAGTTTGATCTATTTTTTAGGTGGACCCTGTGCATCGATTTACACGGGTCAAAGTGGTAACGCTTTCTATGCCGCGTTGTAATTCACGTGGTATATTAGGTTGCTCAAAAACCATTACCGAGTGAATGGGAAATTGAAGCCAAAGTTTGCTCTATGGAAATGGAGTTTTGGTGAAAATTCCTTAAAATTGTAAATTGGCTTGTCCCACATTGATTTGGTGGGAAGTTTTGAAAGGGTTTATAAGGCTTGGGTGAGATACTTGGGGTGTGCCTCAAGAGGTACCCAAGTGTTTTAGAGGGAGAGCTTATGGGCTAGACCCATTGGACCCAAAAATCACCACACACGCGCGCCGTCCGGGCGGGCTGGGCTTGGGCGCGGGTGCGTGGTGCGTGGTTGGGTTGGGCTTGTTCGGCCCAATACTAATCTTTTTGGACCAAAAACATTTGAATTTAATTTTATTTTTGGTAAAATAAAATCCAGAATTCAAATTAAACTGATTTGGATTTTCTGTACATCCAAACGGGGCCCTTCTCGTTTTCAAACAGAAATAAACTAGTTTGGAATTAGTGCACACCCAAACAGGACCCTTCCCGTTTTTTGCTATTTGTTTGAATTATTAACAGATTCAAATCTGTTTGAATTCAAAACCAACAGGTATCATACCTGTTCAATTTAAAACCAAGAGCCACCTTTACATCTATAAATAGGACCACCCTCATTTGATGTTTTGAATTCAAAAATTTCGTATTTCACCTCTGCTTATTCTATTCTTCATTTTGTTGCATTTTATTTCTGAAATAAAGAGTGTAAACACTTAGTGTGTTCGTAAGGCAAACAATTTGTAGTGCTGCTATTGTTTGTGGTAGATCATTTCATCCTGGGAGATAGACGTCCAAATTCTGATAGCATTGTGGAGAGGACGAATCTGTCTTAAAGATACAGTGTCAAACACTGAACTTGATCAGAAAATAATTCGAAGAAATTAAATCAAGTAAGTTATTTAATTTATTTTCAATGTTGTTTTTATTTGTTAAAATCAGATTTAAATTTTGTTTTTGTAACAAAATAAAATATGTTATTTATTTATTTATTTATTATTTCGAGTTTGATTTTTGTAATCAAACAAATTCTCTCCTTTTCTTTATTTCCTTATATTCTTGTTATTGTTTTGTACACAACAGAATTTAATCTATTTAAATACAGTGAAGATTGTCCAACAATCTTAAGACAAATTCCTTTTTTGGTATCTTCATTGTATTTAATTTTCTGTATTTTCAAACTAATATTCTGGTTGGAAAAACAAATAGTGATTTATGCTATTTGACAGATAGTAGTAATATACTGTCTCTTTTCTTTGACAACTAGTAGTAATATACTGGTGTCATTAACAATTGCAGAATATTATTTGGTATTACAGAAAATTATTGTGATATTTTATTTTTCTAGTTTTAGTAACAAGGAAAATAAAATTATATTATTTTTATAATTTATTTTCTGGTTTTAGTAACTAGAAAATTAATTTGTGTTTTAATTTTTTCTGATTTTTGTAATCAGAGATTATGGCTACTACAACTGAAACTGCATCTGACAGTGGTACTCCTATTGTTACACCTACATCGGTCCCTATCCAGAACCATGTTCATCATGGAGAAAAACCGGAAAAATTTAACGGTACCGAGTTTAAGAGATGGCAGCAGAAGATGCTGTTCTATCTTACAACTCTTAATTTGGCCCGGTTTCTCCATGAAGAGGCTCCAACACTTAAAGAGGGTGAAAGTGATCGGCAAGTTGTTGCCGCTGTAGAGAAAGAGGTGGAGATTTCAGACAAACGTGTATGGAAATGGAAGCACAAGTAGAGGAAGAGAAGAGAGATACACACTGTGGTTTGACCCCTCCAGAGAGTTCCATCGTTATAGCATACTGTGGACCAACAATAACATCATGTGAGTTTCCAAACCCCATCCCCCTCCCACCTACTCTAGAAAATATATATATTTCTATAATATCAATTGATTTTAATTTTCTAATTTGACCATTTCAATGGATTTGGAATTCGTTTATACGCACACGTTTTGCTTGAATTGAGTTTTGATCCAAAATTGTAAAACGTGTATCTTAGGACACGTATATTATCACTTTGGTTGGTAAAATTTTGGTCAGACAAGCTACATAAACCTATTATTTGTACAATTTTTTTTTTAGAAAAGGGGTAATTCAACTAGTGACCTCAAGTTGTTTAAGCAGTATTTGATGTGGGTTCAATGCTCCCCGCTGTGCGAGTCTTGACTTAAGCGGAGCTTGTCTTGGGAGATCGGGGCAAGTTCTCAAGTTATAGTCTCCTCGCTCGGAACGGCTAATAGGACACTTTGGTAATCTCTACAAAGAGGCGTTGCTGTCAACTGATGAAGGGTATTTAGTGTTATTTTAAGAACATCTAATAATTTCAAATAATCATATATAAATATAATTTTTATGAAAAATGATGTGGCATCTTGTGCTTTCTTCGTCCTAAAGATATATACACATAATTGGGCATATAAAAGTATTTAGAAATCATTGCATGATCCAAATCTAAACCATATGTTATGGGACCCAAATTTAAGATAATTTAGGCCATACAATGATTTTTTTTTTTTTAGAATTATTTATGCGTATGAGTTCTATCTACTTCTTTTCATTTTATAACAAAATAAAATTCATAATTTTTAAAGAAACAATTTTACAAACTCACAAAAAAATACTTAAAAATTAATCAGAATTTGAATGGTATAGATTAGATTTATTGTTGATAAGGGCGCACAACACATCAAGTTAAATCACTACCAACTCTCTTTGTGAAAAATTTTATGGACATTTTTTTTTATTTATCTTTTTAGTTGTTCACAATATTTTTTAATATAAAAGAAAAAAAAAATTGTTTGTAAATAGGTTTTTGGCATAATGATACTTTTCATTTTTGACAATTACTTAAATAAACTATTCAAAGTTCCAAACCAGCTCCTCTGTCTCTCTCCATATATGTACATGTGTTGCCATACACAGTGATTCAACCCCAAAAACTCACACAAAAAGATATGGAAACTTTTCATTCTCTCTCCAAAGGAATAGCATGTCTCTCTCTCCTCCTCCTTCTTGTCTCTGCTGCTAACGCTGCCTTCATCGTACCCACAATTCCATTCAACAAAGGCTTCAATCCTCTCTTCGGCGACAGCAACATCGTCCGATCATCCGATGACAAAACCGTCGATCTTGTCCTCAACCAATACACAGGTTTATATACAGAAAATTATAGAATAATCATATCTCTTTTAGATGCTTGTTTTTGCGCATAAAAAAGCGATTCAATACACAAGAAAGATAACATGTCCACAGTCTTATCCAAATTCTAAAAAACGATTTTTTACTTTTAATAACAATAGATATTGGCCAACTGTATCGCCAGTATTAATAACATTATTTAAAACCCATAATTGAAGCTTAATAAATTTTGCTTCTTTTTCGCTGATCAAAAAGATAAGAAAATAAAAATAAATTTTGATGGTTACCCATTTATCTTTATATTTTATAGGTTCTGGGTTCAGGTCTTCGGAACTCTACAACCATGGCTTGTTCAGTGCTAAAATAAAGTTGCCATCTGAATACACTGCTGGCATAGTTGTGGCCTTCTATGTACATCTTCTCTTACCCTTTTGTTTTTTGGAACTTGTTCTCTCATAATGTTTTTTTTTATTAATATGAATCATGATCATATAACTATAAATTTTATTTGTTTATTTTGTACAGACATCGAATGGAGATATATTTGAGAAAACACACGACGAATTGGACTTTGAATTTCTGGGAAATATTAGAGGAAAGAGGTGGAGATTTCAGACAAACGTGTATGGAAATGGAAGCACAAGTAGAGGAAGAGAAGAGAGATACACACTGTGGTTTGACCCCTCCAAAGAGTTCCATCGTTATAGCATACTGTGGACCAACAATAACATCATGTGAGTTTCCAAACTCCCTCCCCCTCCCACCTACTCTAGAAAATATATATATTTCTATAATATCAATTGATTTTAATTTTCTAATTTGACCATTTCAATGGATTTGAAACCCCTATTCTAAAAAAAAATGGATTTGGAACATTCGTTTATACGCACACGCTTTGCTTGAATTGAGCTTTGATCCAAAATTGTAAAACGTGTATCTTAGGACACGTATATTATCACTTTGGTTGGTAAAATTTTGGTCAGACAAGCTACATAAACCTATTATTTGTACAATTTTTTATTTAGAAAAAGGGGTAATTCAATTAGGAAAAATGCCTAAGACCCCAGTGGGGGTCACTGGGGGTCGCGTGTGTAGGAAGGTGATTGGCCCAAAAAAAAAAATTTTTTTTTCTTGTTTCAACGAATGGGGCGGTGCCACGTCACGGGGGTCTGAAGCACGGCCCTTCAACTAGTGACCTCTATTCTAAGTAAAGCGCACAGACTTTAGATATTTGATTAATTCTGTAATTATGAGGATGGCAACATGGTGGGTATATGTGTTTGAGGACCCTTACCACATGCCCATCCCATTCCTGTTTAGTAAATATTGTCTCATGTGTAATGAAAATGAATTTGTTCACACATTTTTTTAATGTGCGAATAATATACAAAATACAAAAAGTGTAATTAATGATCATCCTATCTAAAATTATAAGTCCTACTATTCTATTAAAATGTATGTATTTTTACACACTCAATCAAACTCCGTATCCAATCCCTACCCTCTGGACCCCTCTCTCACCGGCTCCATTCATACCCCACCTCCGATCCTACCAGCCTAACTTAGTTTTATAATTTATATTGCCAGTATTCAATTTGCATTTTACAGTTCATAATGAAAAATAATTTATAATAATGTGTTGTTGTTCGATATTGATCCAAGTGAGATTGTAGAATAAAAGTAAAAAGAGAATAGGCGCAACATTCAAAAAGCATGAAAGAAAAAAGAAAAAAAAAAATCCTAAAACTCAATAATGAAAATATGCATTTAGAAAAAGAAAAGGAAAAGAAAAAGAAAACACAAAAGATATTTTTTTAGTGGTACAAGGGTCGGGGTTACCCTCCCCACACTCTACCCAAACCTATGAGGGTGTTTTTTCTATTTTGATTCGTAGAATATTAAGAACTTCATTCATCAAGCAAAGTTTAATAAGATGCCATACTTCATTCATCAAGAAAAGTTTAATAAGATGCCATATTTGTTATATAAGAAAAAGAAACCTAAGAAAAAATTAAAAAATTAAAAAAAGAAAAAAAGACAAACCAAACTAAACAAAGAAAACACACGAGGGATAGAGGACAAATTCATCTTATAGAGAATTGATACAAAAACCCAATTAATTAACCTAAAAATTAGGCATGTTAAAATTTTGCTTCTCATGAATTTTTTCTTCTTCTTATACAAACAGTTTTTCCATAGATGATATTCCGATTCGTGAGATAGTACGAAGCGATGCCATGGGTGGAGACTTCCCTTCAAAACCAATGTCATTGTACGCCACCATATGGGATGCGTCAAATTGGGCTACCTCCGGTGGCAAATACAAGGTCAACTACAAGTACGCTCCCTTCGTGGCCAAATTCACCGATTTGTCCCTCCATGGATGTGCTGTTGATCCCATTCAGGAGGTCTTATCCACTAGTTGCTCTGAAAAAAATGATCAATTGGAAAGCACCAACTATGCTCGTGTCACGCCAAAGCAACGTGTGGCGATGAAGAGGTTTAGGCAAAAATACATGTACTATTCATATTGTTATGACACGGTAAGGTATCCAATTCCTCCACCAGAATGTGTGATTGATCCATTGATGAGGCAACAGTTCAAGGATACCGGGAGGATGAAGTTTGAGGAGAGGCGACACCACCATTCCAAGAAAAGGAACCAGGTTTCAAGCATGAAGAACTATGGAGACCAGCATGAAGATTGATGTGTGTGAATTGGTATACAATTGGATTGTATAGTAATTTATATGATTTTTGGAATTTGGATTGTTGCTACAGGTTTATTTTTTCATGTGATTCTATAGTTGCTTGTGTGTGTGAATAAGATTGGATTTTTCAAATGTTACGAGTACCCATCATGTATATGGTCAATAAAATACAATATGCTTTTAAATATGAGATTGGTCAAGAGATTAGGTCTGTATTGATTGGGCTAACAGTTAAATAGCCAATGAAAACGAGGCATGCAATGGTTTTACTATGTCAATTAATTAAGAAAAAAAAAAGAACAAATATAGCATCTAGAAGCAACAGCGAGTCAGTTTAGGCATTAATGTAATGGGAGTAAATATGAGGAACCAAGATATCAATAATGAATCTTAATCATATATTTTAATTCTGAAATTTTCTCAAGTATATAGCACTAATGTTGTTCAAAGAATAATTCTGGTTATCTTGAAAAGTTATGCATAATTTTATCTCGGAGATTATGAATAAATTTTTTTATTAATTTTCTCATTATTTAATACAACTATTATTCAAAGAAATATGATGGTTCAAGCTCAAAAAAAGGAATTGATCAGCAGCTCAAAGAAAGGAATATAGTTTGCTAGACCAAAAATATTCGCCAATGGGAACGAGCACAAGACCAAAGGAATGATTCTTTCAAAAATCTAAGTGTGAAGATTTTTTGGGTATTGATGGGCCTCCCAAGGATATTCGGACAATCCCTACACTAACAACTATCATCAAAACAAACACAATTTTACTTAATCCTCTCATTTATCAATCCCTTCCATTCTATCTCTGAAAACAAACGGGGCCTAAAAGTATTCTATCTCTGAAAACAAACGGGGCCTAAAAGTATTCTATCTCTGAAAACAAACGGGGCCTAAAAGTATTCTATCTCTGAAAACAAACGGGGCCTAAAAGTATTCTATCTCTGAAAACAAACGGGGCCTAAAAGTATTCTATCTCTGAAAACAAACGGGGCCTAAAAGTATTCTATCTCTGAAAACAAACGGGGCCTAAAAGTATTCTATCTCTGAAAACAAACGGGGCCTAAAAGTATTCTATCTCTGAAAACAAACGGGGCCTAAAAGTATTCTATCTCTGAAAACAAACGGGGCCTAAAAGTATTCTATCTCTGAAAACAAACGGGGCCTAAAAGTATTCTATCTCTGAAAACAAACGGGGCCTAAAAGTATTCTATCTCTGAAAACAAACGGGGCCTAAAAGTATTCTATCTCTGAAAACAAACGGGGCCTAAAAGTATTCTATCTCTGAAAACAAACGGGGCCTAAAAGTATTCTATCTCTGAAAACAAACGGGGCCTAAAAGTATTCTATCTCTGAAAACAAACGGGGCCTAAAAGTATTCTATCTCTGAAAACAAACGGGGCCTAAAAGTATTCTATCTCTGAAAACAAACGGGGCCTAAAAGTATTCTATCTCTGAAAACAAACGGGGCCTAAAAGTATTCTATCTCTGAAAACAAACGGGGCCTAAAAGTATTCTATCTCTGAAAACAAACGGGGCCTAAAAGTATTCTATCTCTGAAAACAAACGGGGCCTAAAAGTATTCTATCTCTGAAAACAAACGGGGCCTAAAAGTATTCTATCTCTGAAAACAAACGGGGCCTAAAAGTATTCTATCTCTGAAAACAAACGGGGCCTAAAAGTATTCTATCTCTGAAAACAAACGGGGCCTAAAAGTTGCTCATATCCCTACTGAATTACTACCAATCACTCATAATGGGTGAAGGCTCACATTAAGAGTGATTAGTAATTAGGGAAATTACATTGACATTCCTTCAGATTTGTTTTTAATATAAATTACTCCCTTACTTTCTAGAAATTACATCTTATTCTTTGAAGTTTACAGTTCTCCCCTCCCCTAATCAACCGTCAGATAAACTAACACAATATGATGATGTCAGCATCTAAAATTTCCAGAATACTAATTTTGATCCTAATGTACCTTAATACATGCATGCCATTTTCCACTCTCACAACCTTTTTTCACAGCTCTTTCATCAAACACTTGGTAGCCACAACGTCAACACTTCTTCTCTCCTCTCTTGAGCCACTCTATTTTCCTCAAACCATTCTGTGCGTGTGCCTCTGCTCTTTCTCTATCTAAACAGATGTACATTCTAACACTGTCACTATTAAGCCCAAACTGTAATTACAACACCCACCAAGCTTTGTCATAAAAAAATAAATAAATCAATTTCTATTAAGATTCACTAGGTTTCATAGTGATTTATACGCAGGCTTTCTCAGTGAACCCAAAACAAGCAAATATTTGTGCAAGCCAATAAAGCATTTAAATGAGGTTGTTTTCTTCTTTAACCAATAACCCAAATCCAAGGAACTGAGGTTTAGAGTTTCTAAGCCATGAATAATCATGCTTGGGTCTTGTAAATAAAACACACTATTGCAGAAAATTGAAACCAAAAAAAAAACAAAGACCCAAGTAATCACCACAGCCACCAGAGATCCCTTCTACACTTCACATTATTGATGCCTTCAACTGGGTTTGCCGATTCCTCCAGCGCCACAATCAGTACCAAATACTGTTGGGACTTTTAACAAACAGTTGGCCTACATCAGTTTTGAACCACAACCATCACCAAATCAAACAGCAAAAGCATCACCAATATCAACCACTGTCGTATTAGGTTGGAGAATTGAGAGATGGATTTGCTGGGATTTGATTGACGGGTTTTAAACCTTAGACCTCCTCATCTCGCTGCAAGGATCTGCTCACGTTTATTGGCGGCCGGAAGAGTTTGTGGGCTGACACACCCAGGCAATACTCCGTTGCCATCGCCAAATCGATCGGGGGGTTGTGGGAGGTGGGTGATGGTGGCGATAGAGGTGAGTGATGGTGGGTTGCCGAAAATGCGTTGCGGCGGTGGTCGCTGGTCAGCAATGGTACTAGGTTGTGGTGACCTTGGGAGGATTATTGATTTTGAGAGAGATGAGATAGGGCTGAACTTGAACTGGGGAGAGACGTGGATGGTAGAAGATGGAAGTGTAAGGATAAGAGCATTCCTAACGATTTTACATCTTTTTTTTAAAAAAATAAAAAATTATTTGATATCAAGCGATCTAATAAAAAAAAATATTTTTTTTTATCAAATTACGGACGACTAAAAGGATTTTCGGTCTATCAATCGGTTAATGTAAATTTATTAGAAGTTTGAAGCAACAAATAAGTTGTTTCGGAGGATAATTGGTCGTTCGTTCAGTGTACGGTTCCAACGGCTATTTACAATAATTTGATGAAAAGCTTGAGGCATCTTCAGCCTCCGTTTGGGAAGTGGGTTGGCTTTTTGGTTTTTTGGCTTTTTGACTTTTTTAACCTGGGCTATTTTAGCCTGATTTGGGAAGGGCTTTTTGACTTTTTGGCTTTTTTGACTTTTTTTGTGAGAGAGGATTGTAATGATTATGCGTTGGATTTGATGTTTTGTTTTTTGTGACTAAAATAGCCTATTTTGTTTTTTGTGGTTATTTTAGCCAAAAAAGCCTGGGCTTTTTCTTGCTAAACGGAGGCTCAATTTGATGAAAATTTTAAGAAATTCTCAATTTGATATTTGTTTAATATTAACGTTGGAGCACAAAAACTGGACTTTTTTCATCAAATTTAAATTTAATGAAAGAAAAAGGTCTTGGAAACACTCTAATAAGATAATTTCAATCTTCCGATTTAGGGTATTATGGTCCTTTAATGTTTTCTGTCAATTTTGTTAACAAACAAAAACTAAGAGGAGTGCAATGTAATTTATCAAACATGGAGGAATAATTTGTATTAATCCAAACATTAAGAGGTGTTAGTGTAAGTTATCCTTTGTAATTTAATATGTATTTCATACAATGTTAGAACAACAAATAATTTTCAAAAATTTTTTTTGAAGATGACTCTAGTACTAGTAAAAATGTAACAAGTTATCTTATGCTAAATCTATTTAAGAAAATTTATTTAATCATATACAACAATCTTTAACAACCAACGTTAAAAGAGCAAACGCGCGCTTCTAGTTCAATAATGGCCCTGTTTGGTAGAACTTATAAGTAGCTTATTTCAGCTTTTAACTTAATTTAAGTTAAAAACATGTGTTTGGCTTGGCTTATTTCACCAACTTATAGCTTAAATGAAGCTAATTTTTAACTTATTTGAAAAGTGGGTCTGGGGATGCTTAAGTTTATAGCTTAAGCGCGCAACTGCATGGTGGGTGCTAAAATGACTTAAATGCCCCTCCTAATCTACATTATTTACGAAAATACCACTATATATACCCGTTTGATTGCCCTAACTCTCGTCTCTCACACTCTTCTCTCCTATTCTCCTCTTTTCTTGCGATTGAGAAGAAGCTTGACCAACACCTACAAAAACAGTGGTCGACCTCTCTAATCACAGCAGATCAAGCTTGTAGAGACGTCGTCTACCTCTCCAGGAAGAGTCGTCCCCCTATTTTTTCGTTCATCTGCACCGAGGTAAGATTTCAAGACTGTGATATATGTATGGACTCGATTAGGGTTTTGTTTTTGGTTATGTGAAATGATGTCTTCTCTCTCTTCTCCATTCTATGATTAGGGTTGAAAACCCCCTTTTGACTGCGATCGGTTATTAGTTGAGGTGCTTTGACTGCGATCTGCGATCTCTCTCAATATTCTGTTTGTACGTTGAAGAGAATTTAGTAAATGAACATGTTGATATTCATCAATTTGTTTGAATTTTGTTTCCTGGAGTTCGTAAAGAATAAATCCACAATTCATGTTTTTTCCCTCTCTTGGGTTAAACTGTAATTGCAAATTGCAATATAACCCAAATTTGAAAGGAGACAAGGGAAATCATAATTTTTAGGAAGAAAACCAAAATTTAAAGTGAAAGCATCTGCAGTGTTGAAGCCTTTAAGCCAGTTTGCTAAGTATTTACTTCCGACAAACTATCCACCCCTTTGAGCATGAAAATTTGTAGAACAAGAGCTGTCCGTACTTAATCTCAAAGGAAATAAAGAGAGTTTTGACAACGCATTATCTAAGAAAGCATGTACTATCACACTTTGCTAACAGTATTTCCAGATTCCTGTTTTGATATAAGTTATGAATTAATCAGGTTGAATATGATGTTCGATTTTTCAACTGCCTGGTAATTTGAATCATTTGGTATTTTCATTGAGACATTGAGTGCCCTAATATTAATTTTTTGATATTTTCTGGGTGTCTTGAGCATAAAATAGCTCTTAATTTTGTGGAATTAGGTTTGTAATTTTAATGATTTATGTAACCTGATAGCACACAAATGAATGGAAAATGTAAGCAGAAAAGTTACGTATTGGTTCATGGACTTGGAAGATGATTTCTCTACTCACTCTTTTTAAATGAATTTCAACTTATTGAATAATTTTATCTTTCCACATTATGATCACGCTTTTGTGCATATCTGAATACATAGAATAACTTCAAATTGTTGAGCCATTTGATTGTTAACTTCGAGCAGTGTTCTTGGTGAAGCTGTGAATAAGCATGATCTATTCTATCCAAAACAAGCATGATCTAATAATTATTTTATATGTAATAATTACTTTTTGTAGAGCATGAAACATGTGAGTTATGCACTTCTGTTTTTTATTTTTCATATGAAAATGAGACAAGAAGTTAAGAGTTGCTAGCAAAATCATGTCTGTAAAAACATGTGTTGTTAATTAAAAGAAAATATTAGTATATATTAGTATATAAGAAGTTAAGAAGTTAAGAAAAGAAAATATTATTAACATGTGTTGTTAATTAAAAGAAAATATTAGTATATGTGTTGTTAATTAAAAGAAAACATGTGTTGCAAAAACAAAAGTTAAGAGTTGCTTGCAAAATCATCCTCCATCAATGCTCTGTATGGCCAACACATGTGTTGTTAATTAAAAGAAGGGAATTGTCACGACCTAAACCCGCCCCTATAGGTTTAGCATCGTAACCAGCCAGTAATCTTTGGATTACCGAAGGCCTCTGAACAGATTAACAAAATTAAGGGGCTAGCGGAAGCAAATACGTAAATATAGTTGTCCAATGAGCTGTGCTGACTTATGTGAACAGAATATTTAAAACTTTATATACATAATCAAAATTCATTCATATATTATACCCACACATATTACAGAATTTTAAGTACAGCCAACGACATCAAATCAAGTCTTATGTAAACAGAAACCACAAAACTTAAACACAAGACGCTTCAGCAACCTCCACGTGAGGCACAATGGTTGGCTGACAACAGAAACACAGTTCCAGACAAAAGCTTTCGGGCTTGAACTCTAGAATGCTCACCTATATACATATATATACAAACAGTGAGCTAAAGCCCAGTGAATAACATTAAGGTAAAGGGGTTAGTGAACGAAATCCGAACATATCATACGCGGAAAATAAATCAGAGCATAATCATTCTCATATCAAAACATAATAATGGTACATCCCATAGAACACATCACAGAACGTCTTCCGACTAGAGTAATCGGTTCCGGATATCGATTAAACACATATCACCACAATGAAATAGCTAACGAGATCTCTTAATTACTTGTATGTCATGGACCCGCATTTTCATGTCGTCCCCCATGACTTGGGACTATCTATGGATGCCATAATAGATTTCAAACTTGGAATGTTCGTTCACGTAAACAGATATCATTTCAGAAAATCATAGTTTATCACATTTCCTTTGGAACATAATTCTAATCAACATATCTTTACAGAAATGTTACTTACAGTGGTTCTCACAAACGGTTAATCAATCCCCGAGTCTTGACCTACAATCACAAAATACATAACACAAGCATGTCTTATCATCACACATTCAAGTGGCCAACATGGCTTAGCTTACATTACGTTGGTTCTTGTTAATTCTTAGCTCATTGCTTAAAACACACCTATTTGCATTCCCTTAACTTAGTACATTCATATCTTAGTATGTTTCTAATCCATGACCTCATTACTATGGCTTAATTAAGGCTTAGGAATGCCTAAGATGCAATGAGGATGCCAAGACATGCCTTGGAACACTTAGGCAAAATTTCTGAAAATAAGGTCCACGCTCGAGCATAGCTTTCCTCACTCGAGCGGACATGCAAAATGAGATAGGTCGCTCGAGTGTGACTTCCTTCGCTCGAGCGACCTGCAAACTTGGAAAAAGTACTGGTTGGTCGTAATCCACGCTTGAGCTACAACTCTCACGCTCAAGCGGATCGACAACATGCAAAGGGCTCGCTCGAGCGTCAAAATGGTCGCTCGAGCGGAGAGCTCATGTCTAGAAAAAAAAAAATACTGAGAGCTCGCATTCTCCGCTCGAGCGCAGGTTTCCTCGCTCGAGCGGACTGTGAAATTCTGGGTTTCCAAAAACAGAGTTTTGAGCTTCAAAATGCAATTCAATGGCTACACTCATGCATAGCTTCATCAAAACACTTGGAAAGCTTTTCTAAAACACACATATATGATCATTTTCAAACCTTTAGCTCAAGACTCATGGATTTAGCAAATTTGAACTTAAAAGCTCATGCATGAAAGATTTTCAAACCATTTTCTTGATTTCTTCAAAACATGCAAATGTTTGGTATGAATCCATGAATTTCCAAAACATTATGCAAGATATGAACTCACATGCTTGCAATGACTTCAAAACTCTAACTCAAAATGATGAATCAAAAGGTTAATCTCCAAGGATGCACATGCAAGACATCTACAAGCCCAAAGACCCACTTCACTTGCTAATTTCATGAAATTGGTTCAAAGGTGAGTTGAAATCATGGTGCATGGGAGTTAACTACAGAATTTAAACATAGAATCCTTACCCAAAGCTTGTTCCCAAATTATGAGAGGTGAATCTTCCTATTTCTCTTCTTCTTCTTCAAACTTTTGAGCTTTCTCACTCTAAAGCCAAACTCTCTCTCTTTCTAGCTTGAATTCTCTCAGGATAAGGACTCAAATAAGTTGAAAGGAATGGTATAAACATTCTCACACTCGGCTGAACAAACACAACTCACACTCTCACACTTTGAATACACTACACGTGCACACACATGCACTACTCCAACACACCCACAAGAATTTAATCCTCTACATTCAACACCACCAAGGCCTAGCACACCTTACTCTTTAATCACATCTTGGATCACTAATAGGTTTAGATTAGGCACCAATCTTGCATTATTTAATCACACATAAGTAACCTTAATTTATTCAGGTTAGACCGAAATTCAATTAATCCAAAATAGTTCCCATCAAGGTTCAATTTAATCACATGTGATTTTTATCAAACTGAATCAATTTTTTAATAAAATTTGCCAAATGATTCTAAAAATTCCAAATAACACATTGGTGTAGTCAATTTCGGTTTCGGATGCCGATAAGGCCTTTAATTTTCATATCAAAGCGGAATTCTAAACGGATATTTCTACAAGTGACAGATAGAAAGCCAAACCTCATGCAATTTACATAATAATCCCGTAATTTATTTTATTCACTTAATTAACATCCTTAATTACCGATTAGTGGCTAATTGTGGATCGGGGTTATTACAGGAATGTTATGTTCTGTTCTACAAAAACAAAATATTAGTATATAAGAAACATAAAATAAAAGAAAAAAGGTTAATGCTAAACTCTTATTCTAGATTGTGTTAAACTCTTTTGTTTTGTAAAACTAATTGAGTAATATTTTTTGGAGGTTCTCCAAAAAAGAGTAAATAATAATTGATTTCAATTAATAGTTGAATGAAAATGAGTTTTTTTTTGGAGGTTCTCCTCTTTTTCCTTAGGAGAATAGGGAAGAAAAAGTTTTGTAGAGCACATCGGTAAGCCTTGAAGAACCAATTGAAAATCTTGTCTGGTTGAATTCAATCTTTTAACTTTATTAGTTCATAAATCTTTTGACTTTATTAGTTAATGTTCCTAATTAATGCAGAGGCATGTCATCCTCTAGTAACTATTATTCTAGTGGTGAGAGCTTCGACTGGAGGCATGAGGCTTTGAAATGTGATTGTGGGCTAAGGGCTGCTATAAGGGTTACCAAGTCTGACAAGCCATCTAAAGGGAGACTGTATTTCATTTGTGAGAAGAGAAATTGTCAATTTTAGAGGTGGTGTACCCTCAAAATCTGTGACGATAGTAGAGAGGCTGAGGAACGAGAGAATGATTGATCAAAATCAACATATGGAGACTGTAGGACTAAAAGTAAAGAACCAAATGCTTGAGCAATCCAATGTTTTCATGAAGCAACTTCTTGTGGGTCTGCTCACGATTTGTGTTGTTATGTCAGTTGCATTACTCTTTAAATTATGATAGGTGCCGTTTAGAGATACCCGATGTTTTTGTGCTAAGTAGTTTACCATGAACTATTGTACCCAATGAATGTTTACGTAGTTGCCATGTATGGTTATTTTGTACTAATCTTGCTGTTGTAATGCAAGCACTGATGAATGAGTTTGTTTTTAAAAAAAAAAAATTTCTTTCATAGAATGAGTACCCAAGAGGAAACACAACCTGAAAATAGGAAGAACAAGGGAAAATCAAGTCAAGTACCATCCGTTAAAGCTCATTCGGATGCAAAATCAAATGAAATTTTTATTAAGCTTTGTGTTGAACAAGTGAAGGTTGGACATAAACCTGGTACACACTTAGATAGGGTCGGGTGGGAAAATGTGATAACTAAGTTTAAAAGTATAACTGGAAAAGCATACCAACGAATACAAATGAAAAATCATTGGGATGTGTTGAAAAAAGATTGGCTTTTATGAAATAATTTGTTAAGGGGTGAGACAGGCTTAGGTCGTAATACATTGACTGGAGCTATATCTGCGTCTGATGAGTGGTGAACCAAGAAATTGGAGGTACGTGAATTGCTTAATGTACATATTTTTTTTGTTTTATCTCAATTAAATATACCAAATTTTGTTACTTGACCTTGTTAAATTTTCTTTTGTAATTGTTGCAGAGGTATCCTGATGCTGCAAATTCTGACGTATGCTGTTGCAATTCACTAAAGACTTAGACATACTATTCTCAGATGCAGTTGCTACAGAAGAATGGGCATACACTCCTAGCTCAGGGGTAATGCCTCACATTGATGAGACTCCAGAGGAATTTCATACCCCACATGATGCTGAATTTCATGATGATGCCGATTTGGAGGTGGTTCATCCTTCCGAGTTAAACAAAAAACGGTCATCAAACACTGATGGTTCATAACCAAGAGCAAGACAAAGAAGAAATTTACTAGTGCAGCTCTACTGAACAAGACACTTGATCGTATAGTCAGTGTGGTTGAGTCATCTTCAGTAACTTCAACACAGACCTCATCAAGATATCCTTCAATTGCAGAATGTTTGGCGAAGTTGGAAAGCATCCCTGGTGTGTCTCTAGATGATGAGTTGTATGTATGGGCTGCCAGATTGTTCTTATGAGACAAGCGTCGTGAGTGCTTTATGAGTCTTCCAACGGATGAAGTTCGGTTGAGGTTTCTATAGTTGGAGATTGAGATGGAGAAGACCACCACAGGTTATTGCGACTAATTGTTTTTGAGATGGACTGTTGTGTTGAACTCATTATTTTTTTTCTTTTATTAATATTTTTGTTAGACTTTGATGGATATTATTGACTATGTTGGACTTTTATTATTAATATTTGACTATGTTGGACTTTGATTAATATTGAAAAATGTTGGACTTTTATTATTAATATTTGGGTAGGTGGCATTTTCATAGTTAAATGGTAGGTGAATGGTTGACTGGTTGAAATGTTAGTTGAATAGTTGAATGGTTGGTTTCAATTTTGAATATGAATGGTAGGTGAATGGTAAAGATTTTTATATATATGTAGATATTTTCCGGGTGGTGTTATTATGGTGTTTTCCAGCTGAGCTGAATTTGGAGGTCATTCTAGTTTGAATTTCAATCTTTTACTGTTGTATTACTGTGTTGATTGAATATAACATTTTAGGAAGTTCAATTTGCTTGATGTTTGAAATGATCATTTGTATTACATAAAAGATGGTTTTAACTTTTTTTTCTGTAATGGAGTTTCTCTAGCCATCTAGTCTATTTCGTCTGCAAATAATATATCTTCTTGTTGCCTAGAATTAATCCTTGAAAATAGTTTTTCCTTCTTGTGAACCAGTCTTTCTAATTCACTTTGTAGCTCTGTTATGTATTTTAGTACATATGGTACTGTGGTTTGATCATCGTTTTTTTTTTATTATCTTTTAATCAATGCTGAATCATTATAAAAGACATGAGGTGTAGTTTGGTTAAAAGTGGCCTACTTCATTAATAGAGATTAAAAGTGTTGGCTTGAGGTGTAGTTTGGTGGTTGGGCAGAATCATAATGAAATGGATTGATGTATATATGTAAAAGACATTCAGTTTATACTTTTAAGCAAGTCCTAGTTCTGTATTCATGCAACTGGGCTTATTTGAGAGGCTGCATTTGTCTTATACATTTATAGTTTTAGGATGCCAATACATGTCTCTTTAATTTTTATCCAAATGATTACTGCATGCATGCATCTACCATTGGAAAGTAAAAAAAAAAGTAAAATATAACTAGGAATAAAAAAAGTAAAATAATAGCTCTATTTTGTATTAATAACTTTGAAATCTGAGTGTAAATGAATATAATAGTAACTAAGCCTTTAAATGGGTAGGTATTTTGAAGATGAGTAATAGTGATTACGAATGGAATGATGATGACCATGATGAAGATACTAAAGATGAAGGCAGCACATTGGAAACCCAACAACATAATAACATGCTCTTAGCTATGGCGGCAACAGTTGTAGTGACATATGCGACAAATTATTTGATAAAAGAACCATGTAGGACATCTAGTTTAATAGGAGGGAAGTGGATGGTAGAATTACAAGAACGGAATCGGACAAGAGTATTTGAAAATTTTCGAATGGAAAGAGAGGTATTTTATCAATTGTGTGATTTGTTACATACAAAGTATGGCCTTAAAACTAGACGAAAAGTCTCGGTTCAGGAGCAGGTTGCAATATTTTTGTATATTGTTGGCGGTGACATTCGAAACAAAAATGCCCAAGAAAGATTTCAACATTCCAGCGAGACTATTTCAAAATACTTCAAGAATGTGTTAAAAGCTGTTACAATTTGATTGGGTAAGGCCTCAACCAAGAAATGGTGTGCATCCATATATTTGAAGGAGCGCAAATATTAACCTCATTTCAAGGTAAAAAAATAATTACAAGTGGAACTTTGGTGTTACATATAATAATGTTGGTCGGATATTTCTAATAATCTGTGACTAAAAATAATTTTATGAACTATTTTGTAATAGGATTGTATTGGAGAAATTGACGGAACACATATCAAAGCATATATATCTCCAGATAAGCAACCTCGTTTAATAAGTAGAAAGGGATATGCAACTCAAAACATAATGGCCGCATGTGACTTTGATATGTGTTTCACCTTTTGCTTATCAAGATGGAAAGGAAATGCACACGATACTCGGATCTTCTTGGATACAATTAGGAATCGTAGTTATAATTTTCCAAAACCACAAGTGCTATAGTAGATGCACCACACTCACATCTCCATATTTATTTTTACATTTATAATTGCTTACTTTAATTTCATTTTGCAATTTTAAAATAGATGAGTTTTACTTGGTGGATGCTGAGTATCCAAACATGAAAGGATATCTTGCACCTTACAAAGGAGAGAGATATCATCTAGCTCAATTTGAACATGGTCAACCCCCTCAAAATGCACAAGAAAAATTCAACCACGCACATTCATCACTTAGAAGTGTAATAGAAAGAACGTTTGGGGTTTGGAAAGCAAGATGGCCGATGATAAAGGATATCCCACCAAACTACAGCTGGGCGACCCAAGTCAAACTTGTTTGTGCAACAATGGCAATTCATAATTTCATCTGACGAAGTGAGTTCCGCGATATTGCATTTGACTCTTATGATAGATTCGCGGATTATGTGCCTAATGAAGAGGAAGGATCTTCGTCTCAACAAGCACACCATGGAAATGATGTTGACTGTGATGACAACGAGATGGAAGTGAGGAGACATAATATTTGTATGTCAATTTGCCAACGAAATTAGTAGATCTTTAAATATGTAGGAAGTTTTATTTTTATTGCTTTAATAGTAATTTATTGTATTTTTATTGCAATGACATTTTTTTGTTTCCTTGTCAACTCAATATTATTACAAAAAAATTTAAAAAATAAAAAATAAATAAAAAAATAAATTTGAGGTAATGAAATGTACCAAATTAGGTACTAATTAATCAACTTCCATTAGTAAAATAACTTTTTCAAAATTTAAAGAGACGAAAATGAAAAAATTACAAATTTTCTATTCATAAGGGAAAAAATGACAATTACATAGCAAAAAGCTATCTTACAGCTTATTTGCCAAACACTACTCTGCTGCTTAAATCTATAATCCCATAGTTACACCAAACAGGTTACCAGCTTATACTCACAGTTATAAGCTATAATCTGTTAAGTTATAATCTATAATCACTTTCCCACAGCTCTACCAAGCGGGGCTAATATTTTTCTGTTTAGCATGAGAAATTGAAAGTTTGATTCTCACTAAAAATAAATTTAAATAATATTAAAATCATTTTTTTAGCTTATATCTATACAACTCCTTACAAGTTGCAACCGCCATTTAATAGATTGATCCCATTCTCTACATTGTTAGGCCATCTCTAACGGTGCATCAGATTAAGCATCAAATTCAAATTTGATGAAAAAAAGTCCCTTTTTTTCCTCTCCAATCGTTTCACCAAATTGATATCAAACTGAGAACGGAACAAAAATTTCATCAAACTGACGACAAGCATGAGATTTCAGTATTTCATTGTGCTATAATGTTGGGGTGGGTCAACCGGTCAACCAGCCGGATGTCGAGCCGGTTGACCCACCGGTTGACCAACTTCCTCAATTCTGCGAACTATTTTATTTTTTGGAACAGGTGCGAACTAGTTTATTTTCTGGAACAGGTTCAAATAGGTAGGTTATTTTGTGGACTAGGAATAAATTGAAGGGTGATATAAATTTAAATTCCCATGAAAATGCAAATGAAAAAGTTACATCCTATATACATATTTTGAGTTTAGAATTAGCCGTTCTGCATCAGCAATTCCAATAATTTACCGTTGGGTTGACAGAGTATTTTGAAAACTTATCGTTGTTGATGTGCTCTATAAAATATATATGTTTGATAATAGCATGCTGTGAATTTTAGTTGGGTTGACAGAGTATTTCAGTTTGATAATAGCATTACATTTTGTTGTAGACATGTTGTGAATTTTTTTAGTTCTGTGTCATTATAAATTTTTTTCAAGTGAGTTTCAATTTATATTATCTGATTCTGAGGTTGAGTGTATATCATTACAATATTTTTCACTGTCTAAGTTAGATATTGTATCCTACTCAATTTGCTTCAAACTATAGAAGATTTTGAAATGTTTGAGGAATCACAAATGTTGGAGCACAACACTGATATTAATTTTATTTCGAAAACTTCACGAGAGCAGAACACTGATAATCATTTTATTTCTGAAACTTCTCGTGTTTCTCGTGGTAAAGCGTTCACAATTATAGAAGATGAAACTTTATGTAGATCTTGGTTGGCAGTCTCTCAAGATCCCATTACTGGTAATAGTCAGACTTTGGCTATATTTTGGGAATGAGTACTGGATGGTGGTGTGTGTAAAATGAGGCATTGAATTCGTATGCCACATCTGTGCATAAATGAATTTATCTACTGAATAAATGAATGGCAACATCAGTAAGCCAACCAACATCAATAAATATGTGGATAAATGAATTCCAACATCAATAAATATATGTACTGAATAAATGAATTCCCAAAATTCATGAATCTTTCAATATTTAAGTATAAGACTAATATTTAAATATAAGACTTCCAACAACATTAGTAAGCTTTTTCTCATTATTTTGTAACTGATTAAGACATGGTTATTAAAAATTGTAATTCAAATTTGGATAATTTAATTTATGTGGATATATCTAAGCAGACAACATTTATAAATTATGAATTGAACGTTTATCAATTCTCAACTTTATAGATTGGATCATCATAACAGAACTTCTCAAGTACTTGGTTAATATTGATAAAATTATGAAGAGTACAAACAAAACAACCTCCCATTCCAAAACTATAAACAAAATTACATGTTCGCATCGACGTGGTGAATTTAGTTTTCACCATAAAGATGCTACATATGTTCTATTAAATCATTACGGAGGGCATGATATGCATCTTTATTTCTAATACCTAAATGACGAGACAGAAATGATTGGAAGTCATTGTTAGGAGTAGAGGAAAGTTGTACTGGTGCGTTGGTTGATGAAAGTTCATAATCGAAATAAAGGTGCTCCTCCCTCTCATCTTCGACAATCATATTATGTAATATAACACAACTCTTCATTATGTTCCCAAGCATTTTCGGATCCCAAAAACGTACAGCACCACCTATAATTGCAAATCGAGATTAAAGCACTCCGAATGCCCGCTCTATATCTTTCCTTGCGGACTCTTGCATCATTGCAAAATGTTGTTTCTTTGCTCCTTGGAGAGAAGAGATTGTTTGAATCAATGTTGCCCATTGAGGGTATATACCATCAGCAAGGTA